TAAATGAGGAAACTGAGATCCAGAGATGCTAAATGAATTGCCCATGATCTCACAGCTAGTAAACCCAAGAGGTAGGATGCATCCCCAGGTCTTTCCCCACCCCAGGGCTAGCACTTTCCCTTATACCACCTTGTGTTTCTTTGTTCATGTTCTTTTTTAAAGATGTTCATTTACCATTTCTTTAACTGTCTGCTTTGGAATTTTGAAAGGAATTAAAGTCAAGCTCACTTGTCACAGTTGTTACTGGTACCTTATATCAATCTCAGATTGACCCAAAGATGAGTGTACAAAGTTGGGAGCATGGTAGGTAGGTAGGCAATCTGAACTACTCTTTATTCTGTTTGATAGTTGGATTTTTTTCAGTCTCCAGCACTTTTAGGTCTGCCTTTTTTTTTTTTCAGATTTCGAAATCACTTGTTATAAGTTGCCCTGATACTGAGATTTTAATGACTCCTTCATTTAGCCTTTAGCACTGCAGGCTAAACAGAGTTTATTGAATTTGCTGAAGGCCGCATAGGTAGTAGACTATCAGAACACTTACAAGCTGCCTCTGTTGTGAAATAGGTATTATAACTTGTAGTTTCTTTTTTCTTAAGGTAACTAATGCTGCCTTCCTATTGGAAAAGTTTTCTAGTGGTTATCTCACTTCTTGTGACTGACCTTCAGCACTTGTCAACATTTGGTACCACTCTTAATCCTTTACTTTGACATAGATACCCAGCAATGAGCTCAGTAACTACCTACCTCCTCATAAGGCTGTTCCCGATTCCTCCAGTTGCTAGTCTTCACCCTATCACTTTGTATTTTATATATATATTTATACTTCTGTGAAAGTGTTGTATGCTTCCATTAAAATGTAATTGCCTTGAGGAAGGAGCTGTTTTGCTTTGGTATTTATATTTCCACTAGCATCTGGCACTGTGCCTGTTAGATAGTAACTATTTAGTAAATGGTTGTTGTATCAACTAAAACATCTTTTAGGACTAAAGATGAAACACTGAAGGAATGCTGGGCAATGAGGTGAATTTTGGTTGTTGGGGGGTTTTTGGATGGCACTTTCTAAAAATGAAATCTACATATTAAGTTGATATCAAAGAATAAAAATGTACTTTTATAAGAAAAATTATTAAATGAATTATCTTTCTAATGGTTGCTTTAAATCAAATGTGGAATTACTTTAAACATACCATGTGAAAGGGCACTCTCATGCCATTTAAACTTTCCCCAGAAAATGTTTGATTCAGTGGAAGCTTGTGGATTTGTATCATGGTTAAAACCACATCCCAGAGATTATACTTTTGCTTTAAAGTTTAATTTCAAAGGATGAGCCATCTGATTAGATCTGTTAGCAAGTTTCTGAGGAGAGGAAAGTATCTCCAGTGTTGTTGTTATCCTCTCTGCTTGAAGAATAGAACATGATAGATAGGGATTATAATTCTTTGTTCTGACACAGAACACTCAAAGCAGTGCTTGATTTTATCTTGGACTAGGCAAGGAGAAGCACTGAATCTTATAAATAAACTGAATTGCTTTTTATCACTATGTCTTGGGAACCTGTTGTGTTATAGTTGGCCACCCCAAAGGCCTGGCCAGGAATTGAGTGGGCAGGATAGAATAAATGAAAAGTATCTCCTCCCTTTTATTTTTTGTGGGAAACAGTGGAACTGAATCTTTGCTAGACTAAGTTGGGTGGCTTTTTAGTTTAATTAAATAACTTGAATGATCACATAGGCCACTTTCTAGAGCACTGACTGCTTTATTGTGGAAGAGGGAAGGCTGATCCAGAAGCTTTTTATCAAAATTCTTTTGTAGAAGTCGAAAGAAAAGATTTACTTGTAGCATTTGGAGGTTTTGGTAGGCAAGGAAGGACAGCTGTTTATTACCACTCCAGCCAGACAAATTGGAAATCTGTAGATGTCCTTATGTCAGCAGCCTACTTAAGAATACTTAGCGTCACAAATGAGGCTTTGTCATGTCCAAGAATAAGGATTTGATGCTTATGATCTGAAATCTTTCTTGTTGCTTCTAGCTCTGGAAATAACCATTTGTGTGAAATTAATAAGTTAATTGGAGTTAATACTGTGTTTCTGAACTTCTTTGTGTTATAGATGACTTCTAGAATTTCCAGTTTTTTCTATCTTAGTAACGTGTTAACCTTTATTGAGCCCAGGGGGAACACTGGATTGGCTACTATAAGGAGTTAAATGGTTAGGTCTGTAGTGGATAGAGTGCTGGGACTTGCAGTCAGGATGACTTGAGTTCAAATGCTGCCTCCCATGTATTAGGTGTGTGACACTGGCCAAGTCACTTAATTTCTTTTAACTTTAGTTTTCTCATCTGTAAGAGGAGAATAATAATAGTTGGTATCTCAGAACGTTGATGAGAGGATCTAATGAGATAACATGCACAGTGTTTTGCAAGTCTTAAAGCACTATAAATATTAGCTATTATTATTGTTATCATTAAATAAATTAAATAGATGCTATAGTCCTTGGCGTTTATGACCACATTTTTGGTAATTGCATTATTTTTCAGGGTGACTATTTTAAAGTACTTTAGTTTCCTTCCATTTTTAAGATACTAAATATATGCTTTGGCTTTTCATTTAGTGCAAGGATTCAAATTCCAACTAATTTCATTTCAGAGGGCATTTTGATATTTTGGGTTTTTTTCCCCATTTTGGTGGCTCTAAAAAATATAGTTTTCATTTCTGAGTTGTATTTCTTAGGTTTTTTGGGTGGCTTTTTGTTTGTTTTAAACTTTTGGTTTCATTCATGTGCCAGAAAAAAAGGAGGAAAAAATAGGTTGAGTTTGGGTTTTAGTATGATTTTTAAAACAAAGAAATCAGAACTAGAACATCTTAAATTTTTTATCTTTTCTTTACAGGTTTACTTAGACCACTTTAGATTAAGAAAACTATAGAAAGTTAGTAACTGCTACAAGTGGACGCCAGGAGGTGACCCTTGTCAGTTTTCCATAGAGTCCTGATTGCAGGGTGTTGGAAATGCACTGTTCCATGTCTCCCCTTGCCCTGGTTGGAATCAGTCACGGAAGATTTAGTCTCCATGTTTCTTTGTAAACTCTTCAGCATTCTTACAGATTTTTTTATATTTTATATTTTTTTCAGATTTTTTTTATGGTCCTTAGAGGATGCTTCAGCTAAATGGGCCTGAAAGGGGTGCTCAGGCTGGGGGTCATTCACTAGGGCTCTGAGAGACTGGATGTTCAGTTTTGGTTGCTGACTTCTAGTTTTCAGCACTAATTACTAGCAGACAGACCTGCCCTTTTTCATCGATGTTGGGGTGGTAAATCTTTGTCTTAAAAGTGATCTACCTGGTTTGAATAGATACTTTGCTGGGACGCTGATTTTGATTCTGAAGGCTCCCTTGTTGTATGGAGGGTTGTCAGGAACAACGAGCCCTTGCCAAATCAATAAATTAGTTTCATCAACCTGAATGTTAGGGAAGTTTTCCTCCCACACTTGCAGATTTCTTCCAGCTCCTTCATCAGCCTCCTGCTAGCTATCGTCTTCAGTCTGGTGCTGCTTCTGTCCCACAGTGCATCGCCTGGGCAGCTTGAAACCCTCTAGTTATTAAATTCTCTTTTTTTTTAATTAATTAATTTCTAGTTTTCAACATTCACTTCCACAAGCTTTTGAGTTTTCAGTTTTCACCCCCTCCCTTCTTACTTCCTTCCCCAAGACGGTGTGCAATCTGATACAGGCTCTACATATACGTTCCTATTAACCATGTTTTCACATTAGTCATGTTGTAAAAAAGAATTAGAACCAATAGGAGGAACCACAAGAAAGAAGAAACAAAATGAAACAGAAGAAAATTTTTTAAAAAAAGAGCAAACAATATGCTTGATCTGCATTCAAACTCCATAGTTCTTTCTCTGGATGTAGATAGCATTTTTCATCGTGAGACTTTTTGGAGCTGTCTTAGATCCTTACCTTACTGAGAAGAGCTAAGTAGATCACAGTTGATTATCACACAATGTGATTGCTCACTTCATTCAGCATCAGTCCATTCAAGTCTTTCCAGGTTTTTCTGAATCCATTTGCTCATCATTTCTTATAGCACAATAGTATTCTACTACATTTATATACCACAACTTGTTCAGCCATTACCCAATTGATGAGCATCCCTTCAATTTCCAAGTCTTTGCTACCACAGAAAGAGCTATACATATTTTTGTACATGTGGGTCCTTTTCTCATTTGTATGATCTCACTGGGATATAGCCCTAGAAGTGCTATTGCTGGGTGAAAGGGTATGCACATTTTTATAGCCCTTTGGGCATAGTTCCAAATTACTCTCCAGAATGGTTGGATCAGTTCACAATTCCGTGAACAATGTATTAATGTTCCAATTTTCCCACATGTTCTCCAATATTCATCATTTTCTTGTTTTGTCATGTTAGCCAATCTGATAGGTCTGATGTGGTACCTCAGAGTTGTTTTGATTTGTATTTCTCTAATCAATAGTGATTTAGAGCTTTTTTTCATATGACTATAGATAGCTTTAATTTCTTCATCTGAAAACTGCCAGTTCATATCCTTTGACCATTTATCAACTGGGGAATGACTTCTGTTCTTATAGATTTGACTTGGTTCTGTATGTATTTTAGGAATGAGACCTTTATCAGAGACACTGGTTGTAAAAATTCTTTCCCAGTTTGGCTTTGTTTGTGCAAAACCTTTTTAGTTTAATGTAGTCAAGTTATTCAGTTCTTAATGACAACTTTTAAGCCCATCGAAAATATAATTGAAAGTGCTGTTTCTCTTCCTCACAGGTTTAAGTAGCTGTCAACCCCAGTTTAAGCTCTGACCCTTTCTGGGTTTTGAAATTATGTTTCTCATAGTAAAGAGGATTTCCACATATCTCCCCCCCCCCCCGGTTATGTTCTCATGGTGTTTTTTTGTTTGTTTTTACTGAAATTTCTTTTGGATAATGACAGTGATCATAAGGTTCTACGGGATCTTTTCCTTTTTCTCAGATCTATTGATGAGATGAAAAGAATGGAGGAAGTGTCTAGTGTGTTCCAAAGCAGTGGAGTAGAGTGCCACCCCCCTGAACTAAAACCCCAAACAGAAGAAGCAAGTGATAAAGCCACCAAAGAGCAGCCATGGGAAATGGTAATGGACAAGAAACACTTCAAACTCTGGAGGCGCCTGATCAGTGGTACTCATCTCTACCAATACAGGGGTGAGTCCTAGGTTTCCTTTCTGGCTTAATGTGGTCCAGGTGCCATGGTTGGCTAGGAGTACAGAATGCTAGCATTGCTGTTTGCTTCTTTTTCTCACACTGCTTTATTCCTACTGACTTCCATTTAGATCTGCCTGTCCCTTTTTCTTATATTCCAGACTTGTTTAATGTCAGTCTTCAGGTTTATAAAATGTTTCTTTCTTTCACCCCTGTTCCACTGTGATACCAGTTTTTGCTTCTGTCTTTAAATAAATACTCAGTGATACATTTGTACCCTAATCACAATTGAAATACAAGTCAATTAACAGTTGTGACACACCTTCTATTTTCCTTTTAGTTTTTGGAACATATACTGATGTGACACCTAGACAATTCTTCAATGTTCAGGTAGGTCAACTTTTTATCCCCAAAGCTTAAAATTAAGTACTGCTGAGTGGGGGGAGGGAATTGTCCAGGAAAATCTTCCTATCCAGATAAACACTACTTGTATCAGGATGTTGAGTTGGCCATTTTTGCTACAACAGAGTATCTCTGTGGATTTAGGCCATTTATCATCTTTCTGTGTTTGTTTCCCAGTCTGTCAGGTGGGTATAATATGATTTCCTCTGTCTGTATCAGATCACATGGCTCTTCAAAATATCAAGTGAGGGAATGTAATGAAGTTTAATTTTAAAAGTGTGAAATATTATAGGAGTGTTTTGATAATCATTATTATTGCAATATAATGTTGAGCTCTAGGTAATGGCCTTCTAAATAGATAAAATACAACATATGTTGAATATAGCCAAAGAATTTTGCTAGTTTTTTGGAGTTTAAGGTTTTTATTTTTTAGCTGCCGGGGAAGTTGGATGGATTGAGACTCTTGACTTTTCCTTGTGGAGCAAGTAGTTAACTTAAGTCATTCTGTAATCTTTGTTTTCCTCATAATTGGCTTTAGTCCCTAGTTATTAGTTTAGTTTCATAACTTGTTTTCACAAAATATTGATAGGTGACTTGGGAACCATGTGAAATATCAGAATTACATGCTATTTAGAAGTGCCTGTTTAATGTACCATGCCATTCAGAGTGCCTGTTTAATGTACCATGCCATTCAGAGTTTGTGATTGTAGTGGTCTCCCTTTTCCCTTCTAAGTCCCACTCTACCTCCTGTAGCTATGAGAGGCAGTATGATATAGTGGAGAGCCTGTCTGACGTTGAGATCTGCCTCTGACATTGGGCTTTGTGACCTGGGCAAGTCACTTAATCTCTCATTGCTCCCCAGGCAGCTGGGGAAGTTGTATTATATGCCAGTTGCCAGTATGCATCAGCAGAGGAAATTTCTAAATGGGGAGTTCCTATACTAATGAACTCACAGATCTGGACCAAAAAAATGACATATGAAGACAACTTTAAACAGCAGCAGAACTGTTTGTAGGGTGGTATTCTGTGAGAGTTTTAAGTCCTAGCATTTGAGTTAGGTTGACCAGATGTGACAATTTTCCACAAAAATATTTCATACCAATGACAAAAATGAGTTATTCTGTGCTCCTCATTTTCCTCCTTTTTTTAACATGATTTTTTTGTTGTGGAGTACATTGTAACTTCCCTTTTCTAACATTCTCTTAGCTTTTTTTTTAACTTACTATTCTTCTAGCTAATAAAAACAGAAGCAGTACTCAGTGTTCTATTTTCTAGTGGCTGAGGTTTGTGAAATTTTTTAATAGAGCCTTGCAAAACTTTATTTGGAGTTTCTTAGTCTTCATATGTTCTTTCTGTCTACAGCTGGATACAGAGTATAGGAAAAAGTGGGATGCTCTGGTCATCAAACTGGAAGTGATTGAGAGGGATGTGATAAGTGGTTCTGAAGTTCTTCACTGGGTAACTCATTTTCCTGTGAGTACTTTTCTTTTCACGGATGTTTTTACTTTAATCAGATATAGCTGATGCAGACACCTAATTCTCTCTCTTTCTTTAGTATCCAATGTACTCGCGGGATTATGTGTACGTGCGAAGGTACAGTGTGGATCAGGAAAACAATGTGATGGTGTTGGTGTCACGGTGCGTATAGTTGGCAGTGGGGCAAGTAGTAATTTTGAGTAAAACCTTCACTTTTATTGATAGATGCTTTTAAGTATCTTTGGGGTGCTTAACATTCTTCCCGACGGATTCTATACAGCAAATGTTCTGTTTTTGTCAGGGATGATTTAAAGAGAAAAAATATCCTAGTGATAATTATTCCAGAAAGACAAGTAAATTTCTTTAGAATGACACCTTCTAATTGGCTACCAAAAGAGAAATTGGAGTTGGGGGGTAGTGCAGCACATTTTGATGTCATTAATTAGTTTATATTTTACAAAGAGGCAGCATGGTATATTAGAGAGAGAGCTGACTTTGGAGTCGGAAAGACTTCCTGCTTTCACATCTGTTGACTTTGTGACCCTGGGTAAGTCACTTAATGTCACAAATGCTTCAGGAAACTCCTTAAAGACTGAATCTGCTGAGTAGGTACAGATATGCATTGGTAAGGGGATTTCCTTGCTGGGAACTCCCTGGACCAGTGAAATCACAGGAGCATTACAAAATTTTTTTCTTTTTTAATCTGTTTTTGTTCCTTGTTTGTCTGTTTTTAACAACAAAAAAAAAGGCTTCCTGCTTCCCCCCCCCCCCAATCATTAGCCTCATGAAACTTAATATTGTTTTAATGTACATGTTGCCAAGACAAGTGATATCTGGCATTATCCTTTCATCCTCAAAGTTATCATTCATCTTATCTTCTCTCTCACAGTGCGGTAGAACATCCTAATGTACCAGAATCTCCTGAATTTGTTCGTGTCCGGTCTTACGAGTCCCAGATGGTTATCCGCCCCCACAAATCATTTGATGAGGTGAGCTTTCTTTCAGCCATGAATGTCTGGATGGTTTTGACCTCAGGGTGGAAATGAGCTGCTGTTGCACAACTGGGCATTGATGGAAGGAGGCCCAGAATAAGGTGGTGATTAGCAGCTGCATTTTTTGTGTCCAACTCATGGGGTAATGGTGAGGCATTGTCATACTAATGGCCAAGTAGATGACTCATTGACTAGGTAGCATCCTTTTTCTCACCCCATAGAATACTTTCCAAACATCTTTATTTACTTAGCTGAATATCTGGAATTTTATTTATCCTTCCTTTTTGTGATTCTAATTTCTCCTATTCACTACTTGGTTTTAAAGGTATGTGAATAATTTGGGAGTATTATTTCAGTGTATTGTGTTTATCTTAAAGGGGAACCTGTCTGGGTAGTTGTTCATGTGAAGGGATCATCATTCTGCCCCTTGAATGGAAACTATTAAAATGAACGTTTAGTTCTCTATTTGAAATATGCCTCTTAACAGTTCTTGCCTTATAATAAAGTTTTAAGTTTCATGGGAAGTTTTAAAAATTCATATAAATGCTAGAAATGGGAGATGATTTAAACAATAATTAATATATTTTATTTTTATATCACCTTAACTTCCAAATAGTGAGGAAACTCCCCCTACCAATGCTTATTGGTACCTTCTCTGCAATGTAGAATAGCCTAGAGCAGTAAGAGGTTAAATGTCTTGCCCAGAGTCACATTTGTGTCTTCCTCTTCTTCTTGACTTTGAAGTCAGTTCTCTACCTTGTCACAAAAATAGTAACAAAGGTTTTAATTTATTTCATTAAATATGGGACCATAATTCTCCCTTTTTAAAAAAAATTATTTTTGTTCATATTTCCTGTTTTCACATCACTTATATTTCCCACTATATTCCCTTCCCTACCCTCTCTAAAAGAGCTATTCCTTGTAATAAAGTATCAAGAAAGAAAGAAAAATTCTGCAAAACAAAGCAGTATATCAAAAAAGTCTGTTATATTCAGGATCCCACTCCCATGATCCCTCACTTCTTCAAAGGATCAGGGTGAAGCATCATCACTTAAACTTCTCTAAAACTTTTTCTAAAACAATTAAACATTGTTGTCTTGGTTCTGTTTACTTCATACTGCAGATACGAAAAGCTTCCTCATTTTCCCCTGAATTCTTCCTATTGTTTCTTACAATACAGCAATAGTCTGTTGCATTCAAGTACCGCTGTTACTTTAGCCATTCCCTAACTGATGGGGACCCACTTTGTTTCTAGTTCTTTGCTACCATATAAAAAGTGCTGTAATTCATATTTGAGTATACGTATGACCTTTCTTTGTCTTTGGCTTCCTTGAGATATGTGCCTAGAATTGTATCAAGCTGTGTTTTTTTTAAAGCTTTTTCTTAAAACAGAGTATGCATAGGCGCTCTGGGAATTATTACTCTAAATGATAAACCTTCATTTTTTCCCTGTATGCACTGATACCACCTTGCCTAGCAAAGTCTTCTACTTATAGTTGCCCAGAACATATTCACTTAATTGATTATCATCAAAAGACTTAGACCTTCATCTAAGCTGCCGACATTGACCACTGGAGATAAGCATTTATGGCTGATGTACTCTCCAAAAATAGGACCTGGTTACTTTTTAGAGTTGATTGGGAAAGTTAAGATGATGAGTGATACAGAGTCCCTTATCCTATCCTATTGTTCTTTTTCAGAATGGCTTTGACTATTTGCTGACATATAGTGACAATCCCCAAACTGTGTTTCCTCGTTACTGCGTTAGCTGGATGGTCTCCAGTGGTGAGTATTCATCGCTTGTATGTCTGGGAATGTGACCTGGGTTGGGCATGTTATAGATTGTGTACCTGAACATCAGGGATATTCTTATTATTTCTTAATACGTCAAGGGCAATGTTGCAGCAAAAATTAAATCTTTACCGACTTAGAAATGAACTTGTATACTCTAACAATGTTGAGAATCTTGAAACACTAGTGATACTTCCATTAAGTAATGAGATTATGATATTTAAAAAAAACCTGAAGTCTTAGCTTGTTCAGGGAAGTGTTTTAAGGAAAACCATTGCTATTTACCTGAGGGGCCTTGCACATGGACTCCATGATATGTATTTACTCAATATATCTATGTGGGGGGATGGAATCAGAGTTAAGTGACCTTGCCCAGGGTCACACAGCTGTCAAGTGTGTAAGGACAGATTTGAGCTCTGATCCTCCTGACTCCAGGGCTGGTGCTCTATCCATTGTGCCTTCTTGCTGCCCCCATTTATATTTCTTAGATAGTATTGAAGGAAGCAAGATATGATGGGGAAGATGAACTTGTCAGGGAGATAAAGTTGCCCTGGAAAGATGCTACCAAAGCTTCATGTCATAGCATTCAGCTTGTTTCTCCTTCTTTCTAATTTCTTCTATTTAGGATTGTTCTCATGTCACTTTCTTCTTTTCTACTATCAACAAGTAGGTTTTCTAACCTCTTTTGGGTAGGGGAGAAAGGTAGAAAGGACTATAGGTAGAGATGAAACTTCACCAGTTGGTACATTTCCAAATACAGAGATGTGACCTGGGCTGAGCATCTCTTCCTTGAAGAAGTCTTTCAACACCAGAAGAAGAACTATGTCTTTGGGTCTGCTCAGGGAAGATAGTTACTGATGTACATAGAAATCCCCTTTTCACCTTCTTTGCCCACCTGCCTGCTTGACACACCTCCTGTGGGCAAAGCCGTGAGATACCTTCATCACTACAGTGTTCCCTAAGTTAACTGTCTGAGTTGTGATCTCAGGAGAGGAATAAATTCTTGCTCTTAATGATGTGAGTGCCTCCTTTTATGTGTCACTAATATACATTTTCCCTTTCTCTAATAGGCATGCCAGATTTCCTGGAGAAGCTGCATATGGCCACTTTGAAAGCCAAGAACATGGAAATCAAAGTGAAGGACTATATCTCAGCCAAACCCTTCGATGTTGGCAGTGAGGCCAAGGCAGCCACTCAGACCCCAGATCGAAAGAGTGAGGGCAGCTGTGGCCCTCCTCGCATTGAATATGCTTAAAGGGAATTAGGTTGGGGGGGGAGAAGTTGTTTCACACCTGCCTTGGACCTTTAACCCCCTGCTGCAGAACAGGGAAAAGCCAGGTATATTGGAAGAGGTCTGCTTTACTCACAAAGACCACCTAGTTTGATAACTGGAGTCTAATTCACCTGGCCCTAACTTTTCAGTGCTTCTGCCATCCTTTTATCAGAGCATTTGAGAAGATGGCATCTCTCCTGGGAAGCTGTTGTGTTCCTGGCCCAAGAATTTTAAATTCATTGCATCACTGAGGTACTCTGGGACAGATTTCTTATACCTCTGTAAGGATGAGAACATTTCCGTTTGTCCCCTTGGAACATTTTCCTCAAGCCTGGATTTTACTTTGTGCCATCAATTCTGCAGTGACTTGGCTTTCATTCACTTCTTGAAGACTCCACCTAACAAGGCTGTTTGGGTTTTTTCATCAGTTTGTGGGGGAAAGGGGTATTGAAAAATCTCTTGGCAGTAGGTCTTTGTATGTGCTGACTATAAAGGAAACGGTCCTATATGGCCCAAGGGCCTTTTCTTGATCTTTGTCTATTTAGGAACAACATGAAAGCTGTGCCAAGAAATGCCCTTCCCTCTACCAGAAAGTGTCATTTTTCCCTGTGAGATTCCCCTTTAAATCTACTTAATACCTTTGCTGCCCTTTGTGGTTTGAACTGTGTCTGCTTACCCATCATCTCCTTCCCATCCACCCCTCCATAGGGCCACAGGTAAAGGAAGCCCTTTTAGACAATAATACGTTAACAGTATTCAGGTACGATCAGGCAAGATGATGGTAAGGCAACTTACTAAAAATATTGAATTAAACTTGAATTTTTATTTTGTGTTAATTTTTGATTGAGAAAGTGGAATAGAGATTCACACAGTTGTTACTAGCTTTGAGGATTCCACTTTAGCTGCAAAAGATTGCTCCTTAACCTCACTGTAAAGGAAGTGCCAAACTTGTTAGCCCTCTTGGTTTGACTTTACTCAGTCTTATTTCTGGATGTTCATAAGGTTTGTATAGACCCTCTTCCTGTGGTGAAGCTTAGGCATGAAATCACGATGGAGCTATTCTCCAGGGACTTATCCTCAGTTCCCGGTTGAGAAGACTACACATAGGGAAGGGAAAATAATTTTCTTCCCATAGAGGTTTCAGAATCACAAGCTAAGGTAGGATGTTTAGAATGAAAAAGCTAGCCATAACCATAATTGCCATCGTTAAGAAATGCTGGCTGAGCTACTTATATACCTGTTCATCTGAACATTTTGCCTAGCATTGAAGCCAGGGAAGGAGTAAAACTAAAGAGAAGCCTCATTCCTTTACTTTTCCTCAGTCACTGCATTTTGACAAAAGTTCTCCCATTACCTCTCTTTCTACTTGTTGCATTGAAATGCTGTTGGCTCTTATATAATTGACTTGAATTTTGCTGGAATGTCTTGGCTCTGGCCCGATATATTAACCAGTGTGGCCAGAGAAAGGTCCAACTTGAAGGCTAACAGTATCTGCAGAGTGGAATGAATGATTTTAACTGGGTTAATTAGGTTTTGATTTTGACTAGAGTGCCTTGCTCTGGATGGGTGCATTGGCTATAATGACTGTGGAAGGATCCTGCCTGAAGGCAAGTGTGCCATCTCCAGATTTAGATATGTTCTCACGTATAGGGTATAGGAGTAGTAAGGGTGGTATCATCTGGGCTCAGTTACTATGGCAAAACTTCAGTCTATAAGGTGGTAGGTGATTTTGAAGTCTCCCTTGTCATCAGAACTTAGGTGGAAAACTTCTGTTTGCCATCCTTCACACCCTGTTTCTATCATGGGGGAAGGGATCTAGCCCTAAAAGTAACAATCGCTTCATAGTACCCTTGCTGTCTGTTCAACGGTCTTGTGCCAAGGTAGTGATCCTACCAATACCTTTCTTGGCATCTGTTCAGATGATATGACGCAGGTACGCTAAAGAGCCCAAGCTCCTTGATCCTTCTTTCCTCATTTCAGGATGTGATGAAATCAGGGAACAGTCGCTGGATTCCATTAGTATCCATTACCTACAGGAGTTACTGTCTGTATAAAGAGAGCAATTATAAAAGTGCTTAGGGTACTTGGGACTCTCTGTATGATTCCATGTTCTGATATGTGGCACTGTGTTTATGTCAGTGTAGTAGTTACTTTTGGGATTGTAATAATTTCACTAATAACTGGTATTTTTATCAAAAGTGTGAATAAATGTACTGATTGGTATGAAAGAGTGTTTGTCTTTGGAAGAGTGGTGGTGGGGAAACTTTTCAGTATTAGAATTATCTTTTCCTTCCTGGTTATAATTGAAAAGAGGAGTATTTCTGCTTGATGTAGGGGCATAGCCCTTTTCTTTTCTAAGTTTAGGTGTGGGGACAAAAATAGTTTGTCCTTTCTCAGTATCAATTGGCTTATACTCAGAGCTGAGCTTTCATGCCTGAGTTCTAATCCCTCTACTTTGGTCATCCAGTATGACAACCAAAAATAAATCACCCATTTCTACTTCCTTGTCTTGATAATTGCTGTGAACCTTTTCTGTTAAAGATATGTCATTATAGAAGAATGATGCTGAATTTATGTAAATGATAAAGGTACTGTTCTCAGAGCAAAAGTAGTGGGAGGTTTAAGATTGTTGAGAAACGGAGTCCTAAGGAATTCTAGAAGTAGGTTGGGACAAGCTTATCTGGAAAATGTTTTCTCATGGTGGAGGGAAATGTGATTGAGTTTTGCCATGCAAGAATTGAAAGAATGTACCAAATTAGGTTGCAGATATTTTGCCTTTTTTTTTTAAAGGCGTTGTAGGTTGGGGAAGTTATAACAGGAATTGATAAAACTTAGAACTGCTTATGTGGGATTCTGGATCTTCTCTTCATCCCATTAATCTTGATGCTTATTAAAAAAAACAAAAACCCACCACCTTTAAGCACCTACTATGTATCTCAATGCTTATGTTTTAATTAATTTAGCTTTAAGAGCCTTGTATCTTTGATTTTTAATAAATTAATAAATTCATACACGTGAGGGGCCTCCTTCAGTCTGCACAATGCCTTTGAAGATCAGAGACGTGAATGACTAAGGAAAAAACCTCAAGTAGGCACAGAATTTATGCTTGTGTTCCTAGAGTCAGAAGGGACCTAATCTCTTTTTTTACAAATGAGAGAACTAATGTCCCTTCTGCCTCTTCACTCCTTTTTTCCCCATTCCCATCCCCCTCAGTTCTTTACTTTGTGACACTTATTACAACCCATCCCTATTACAGAGCTTGAGAAGAACTAGTTGTTCTGTGGCTTAGGGACGTGCCATTCATCAGATAATTGTTTGGCCTTCGATTGCATTAGTTTTTAGCAGCCTACCATGCTTCACAGTTAGGTCAGTTAGGTCAGCTAAAACCTCCAGCTTTTCCTCACTGAATTTAAGACGATTGTTCTGTATGCTGTAGTTTGTATAATTCATTGTTTTTCGTTTTTTTGTTTTTTTAATTCTGAATTCAGCACCTTACATTTATCTCAAATTGAATTTTTAAAATTCGATTCCATTATGAGGGCCATAGGATCATAGAGCTAGAAGGAACCTCAGAGACCATCTTGTCTAACCTCCTCATTGAATAAGATCCTTAGATAAGGATCCCCAGGGCCCCTGGGGGTTAGGTAACTTGCATAGGATCACAAAAGCAGTAATCGTAAGTGGTGGGATTTGAATCCAGATTCTCTGAATATTAAAGCTTTTGCTTTTTCTACTGTACTACGCTACCTATTTCTAACCTGTCAAGATTTTTTAAAATACCAATTGACATCTACCATTATTAGCTTTGTGTCATGTGTAAAGTTAATAAGCAGGACGTCTTTTGAGTCATTGATTAAAAATTTCCAACAGGACCAGGACAAAGTTGTGGGGCATTTGGCTTGTAGCCTCCCTCCAGGTTACTATTAATCCATCAATTAACATTTTTTTAAATGCTAAATTGTTCAACCAGAGCCCATTTCATGTAACTGTACTACCATACTATTGTCGAGCCCACATTTTTCTATTTCCCTTGCTGAAATCAAAATACACTTTCTACACTGGTTTAATAATTTTATTTTTTAAAACGAAGTTTGTCATAATTTTTTTTTAGTGAATCCATGCTTGACATCACTCTTTCTTATGCTTATAAACATGCTGTTGAATAACCTTTTCACTAATTTTTGCCACAGCTCTGTAGTTCATGGAATAAATAATTTTCTTTCATTTTAAAATTAGGACACTTCTCTGTCTCTAGTTTTCTGACACATTACCTGTTTACCGTGATTTCTCAAAGACTATTGAAAAAGCTTGTAGTAGATTTGAAATATTTTCAGTTCTCTGAGATAAAATTTTTCTAGTCCTAGGGACTTGAAATAATTTTAAATTTTAGGTACTCTTAATTTCTTAGGCTTCAATACTTTTTTTTGTATATTACATTTTATTGATTTATTTTACATTTTAATATCACCTATATTTCCCAGTTTATCTTGCCAGAAAGCAGTTCCTTATAACAAAGAATTTTTAAAAAGGAAAGACAGTTCAGCAAAGCAAATATTGAAAATGTGACATATGCAGTGTTCCCTGCCTGTGGTCCCTTATCTCTGCAAAGAAGAGGAGAAAAGGGAAGGGAGAGGTACCTTTTCATCTCTTTGGTACCAAGATTGGTCATTATCATATTCTGGCCCCATTCTGTTTCAATAATTTTATGGTTGAACTTTGCATTTTATGTTGTTGTCATTTATATTATTTTCTAAGTTCTGCTTACTATACATCAGTTCTTATGTCTTCCCATATTTCTCTTGATAAACTTTTAGCATTTCTGACAGCACAATAAATGTTCCATTACATTCATGTATCACAAACTTGTAGAGCCATTCCCCAATCATCGGTCATCTACTTTGTTTACAATTCTTTGCTGCTATGAAAAGTACTGCTAAAAATATTTTTGTTTGTGCAGGATTTTCCTTTTAATCCTTGGGGTATATGCCTAACGGTGGAATCTCTGGGTCAAAGGGTATGGTGACTTAATTTGCATAATTCTAAATTGCTTTCCAGAATGGTTGTATCAATTCACAGCTCTACCAACAGCATGCTTGTTAATGTTAGTGATTTCACAATCCCTCCTAACGTCTCCTATTCCCAGCTTTTGTTATCTTTACCAATTTGCTATGTGGAATTCGAAAACCCAGAATTGTTTGATTTGCATTTATTTCTCTTATTAGTGATTTGTAACTTTCATCTGGTTATTAATAGGGTACAATCCTTTTAAAGAACTATTTGCTTATATCCTTTTCACGTCAATCGGAGAATGACTTTTGGTCTTATATGTACAGTTCTCTCTTCACAGTGTTTGATCTCTTTTAAATCTGCTTTTTACAATGTTGAGTGTTCTCTTTGATAAAGATGAAAGCAATGGCTATTCTGCTTTCTTCATTACCATTATATTCTTTCCTTAGACAGGAGTCCTTTCCCTTGCTTGTTCTAACTGTGAACATAACTTTTAAAAACTATTTTTATTGATGCCTTTTGTTTTTACATTACATCACATTTACTTATATCCCTTCTCCCTCTACCCTACCTAGCAGACAAATACTAAGTAGGACTAGGGCCTGGAGAAGAAAGTCTGAAATAGCTACATTGGGTTAGCCTAAGAGAAGAAAAAGAAACCTGGTTCAGCAAAACCAACCAAAACAATCTGAAAGCTTCAACTATGTCTGGTAATATTTCATACCCATAAACTATCACCTTTGCAAAGAAAAGAGGGAGGTACATTTTCTTGACTCTGCTTGGGGCTAAATATAGTCATTATAATTGCACAGCTTTTTTCAAAAAACTCTTTTAGTTGTCTTTTAGTTGTTATATGTGTGTTTTTGCAAACCTCAGCTCACTTTGGGCTTTTTGGAGCCTCTTGAAGCAATTCTTACAAGTTCCTTCCATTCTTTAAGATTTGTTGTTGGTTATGCATCCATCAGTTTTTTTGTATGTGTTCTTGTTTTTTACTTCTGAGCCTTTATTTCCATCATAGACCTTTTTTCTCCCATAAAAGTATATTGAGTTTCCTCGAATATCTTATTGATTTGATTTATAATAAAACCACTTATAATTGTGAATACAATGGCACAGAAACATTCCTATGCTGAACTAACTCTTAACATGGAACACTGACATTTTAAAAAATGTTATCTTCTAGAAAATACACCATGTTTTCCATGTATTCTCTATTAGAAGAAAGTATTTCCCCATCTGATAAAAAGTGGATGCTGCCTTCAAAATTTCCCTGTGTGGGTCTCTTAGACATTTTATTTTTTCTTGTCAAGAATTAATTTTCCCCCCTCTCACCTCCTCCCTTCCCCACTAGAAAAGAAAAGAAAAACTCAGATAAATTCCTGTATTGGCCAAAGCTGTGTGACTCATTCTGCTTTAGACTATCGCCTCTCTTCCCGGAGATAAGTAGTGTTCATCACAGTCCTCTGGGATCATGGCTGATTGTTGCATTGATGAGGATTCTTAAAGTGTTTCAAAATTGTTTGTACATTCTCTTAAATTCCAAGTCGGAGACTTTTGTGTAGCCCAGCTCTCTTGTACCCTCATGGTATTTGTGATTTTACAGATACTGCTGTGATGAATTAGCAGAGATTTTAACATGAGTAGTTTAGAAGCTGCTAAGAGGTTACACTGAGCTTGTGTAACTAGGGCAGCCCCCTCCCACTCCCTTGGGGCAAAATATGTAACTTCTCTGGGCCTTGGTTTTCTCCTCTGTAAATTGAGGGAGGCCGTTTGGACCAGATGACCTTCTTCAGTTCTAAATTTATCCATTACCCATGAAGACTCCACCCTGATGTAACTACAGCTTAGGTACAGCAGGTGGCAGAGTTGCATCACTCATCTAATAGCCCTGAGTTTCTTTTGTAGCTTCCCCTGCAGGGGGTAGATTTGGGCTCTATCGCCTCTCAAAAAGTTAAAAAACTTCCCAAATGCATAAGGTGACAAGCAAAGGAAGTAGGTCAGAGGACCTCAGCATGAGTGGGTGCTACATCAGGTGGCTTTGGTGGGGAAAAGCAGGGACTGGCTTTGTACTTCTTAGTGCTTGTTGGTTAGTGAGGCTAGAAGGATGTGAAAACGTGGATATCAAGGCTTATTTTCAGGTACTTATCTAGAACTGAGGGGGAGGAATTTTTTTGAGGGAGATGGGAAAGGTATAAAGATTCACATGTATAAGCCAGGAATGAGTTCAGTTTGTTTTTGCCTTTCATCCCTGATTCTATAGACCTATCTTTTCCTTACTTTTCCTTTGAAAAGCCTAAGAACTTAAGGGATTGGTCTAAGTGCTTCCATCCATCTTGCATCTCTTCTTTTTTCTCTTCCTTTCCTCAATCAGATCCATATATGAATAAATGGTTTGATCCAGGCAATAAAATAATAGAATTAGGATTGATTAATTCCTCCCCCAGCCCATCTCTCTTTGCTCTGTAATATGGGTTGAACCAGTGAATACTGGAAACAGGATGGAGATGGAAGTATTCCCTGGAGAGTCCCCTATTTGAGCTCCCCCAGGTTAACTGCTGTGAAGAATAATATAGTAAGTACAGGTGTGGTTTGTTAAGTCATTCTCCTTATTTTAGTCATACCTTATATGCTCATTGTGGCAATCCATCAAGTCGAGTTAGAGGAGCTGGGTTTGAAACCTAACTCTTACTGACTCACCACTGTGTGATCTTGGGCAAATCACTAAGCCCTGTGGGTTTTTATTTTTAGCTCAGTGGGGAACCATAAAATGAAGAGATTTGGACTATGTGAAGTATCCGTGGTCCTACTTCTAATTCCTATGATCCTGTTGTGCAAGGACTCAGTGTGAATAGACACTGATAGGAAAAGAGTTGGAACCTGAGCTGGCCTTGAAGGTTACATAAAATATGGATAAACTAGGAGGTGAGAGAAAGTTTATAGCTTGGAAAATCAGGTTAAATGGTGTAGAGGCTAGCAAAAGCATGCTAGGCGGCAAATACAACATTCGTCTATACGAATCAGAGATTTTTTGTTGTTATTGTTGTGGAATTTAGTAGTAGAAAATAGATAGGAAGCTAAGAGGCAAAGGGGGTAGCTAGATGGTACAGTGGATAGAGCACCGGCCCTGGATTCAAGAGGACTTGAGTTCAAATCTGGTCTCAGATACTTACTAGTTCTGTGACCCTGGGCGAGTCACTTAATCCTGATCGCCTTGGAGAAAAAAAAAAGTGAGCAAAGGAGGTAAGCTTGATGAAGTAGGTTTTGATGATGATGGTCAGTCTTTCTATAGGACTAACTTTATGTTGTAGGTTTCTTTGAAAGAAGAGAGTAAGAGGCAGAAAGGTGAACCAAAAGATAAATTCTGGGTAGAAGTTGAAGTTTTTTTTTTAAGAAGTTGAGGTTTTAAGGAGGTCTGAAATAGCCACGTGGAGGTGACTTAGGAGTAGAGAAGAAGTAAATAAAAGGAATGTTGAACAGTGTTGAGGCAAGATGACGTTGGACAACATGAATTTGCATTAAGTCATCCCAGCTCTATACCTTATAGCAGTGCACACTGGGACCAGAGACAGTGGAGGTCACCTAGGGTTGGGGGCTTCCATGGCAGGTTCAGTGGGCTTGTCTTGGGAATAGAATTAATGGAATGGACAATGTTTGTTTTTTTTAAATTAATACAACTGTCACCAGTGAGCTGATGTCTCAAGGTGATGCCAACAAAGAAGAAATTGTACACCTCAGAAAGAGAAGCCAGTATGGCTGTGGTAGTATATAAATCGTCTAAGTGGTGGAGGAACTGAGGGAGGGCAACAGCTCTGAAGGAGAGAAGGGCCACCACGGGGGTATACCAGGTGGCTTCTGAAAGTCATAGTTCAGTGCTTGTTTCCTTTGCACCCTAGTGCTATGAGTCCTGATCTCACTCCTGTCTAGAATGGCCATGCCCTACTCCATGTGCCTTGACTGCTAGAAAGGAACCTTCAGCTCATCAGAAAAACCTCAGTGCCTATGTAGGGAGCCACATTCTGAAAGATTCTAATGTCAAGACCCTCCTAGACGGAAGTACACATTTCTACAGTCCCTCCTATTAAGCTAAAAATAAAAGCACAATACCCCCAAACTAACCAGAATGAGGTGATATTAAACCATTATGGGTCTGCCTAGGAGTGAGAGGTTTCAAAGTGGTGGAAACAGGATGTGAGCAGAGGAGGTGAATGGGGAAGGTAAAGGTGGCTTTTGTAGTACTTCATGTTCTGAGCCACAGCAAAGGCTCAGGGCTGGTGTGGGAGCCCCTACATCCTGCCTCCCCACAAGGCCCCTTACTCTTTAGTGACTAAACCAAACCCTGCTGTTAACCTCTCGCAGGCTTGTAGCCATTGGTTTGATGAATCCACTGTTCACACACCAGGCTCTGTGACCTGCCTTCTCAGCCATTTGGATGGTTGGGTGGTGGGGATGAGGTAGAGTGCCTCTTGCCAGAGCAAGTCCATCAATGTCTCTGGGATTGTTTCCTCATCCCTAAAATTTGGGGCGATAGAATTGTGGATGGAGTGTGTGGATGACATGATCTCTAAGATCTCTTCCAGCTAAGGTACTATGATTCTACTTTAATGATGGATCTTCTCCTTCCTAAGTTTCATAGGAGAGGCTGCATGATAATCATAGTGAATTGAGTGCTAGTTTCCAAGTTAGGAAGAACTGGATTCAAATCCTCCC